GGTGGGAATGAATGTGTTTGAGACAGCGAGGTTGGCACAGGATAGAACGGCGTTTAGGGCTCTTGTACATAGGGTCGCTATGAGTCGCAAATGACTCGATGGCACATAACAACAACAACAACAACAAGATAACACCACATTGTTTTCCAAGGTGATTATACAAATTAACCCTCCCCAGAAGAAAGTTCTCATTCAGGAGTGCAGAATGAAGGTAGCATAGTGGAGTGGAGTTCTGGGGAGGGATTAAATAACAATGAATGCATTTTTTTCTTTTACTTTTCAAAAAGAAAAGTGAATTGGCGGTGGGGTTGGCAGGGAGAAAAGTGCAACAATGAATGAATGAAAATCCAAAGTCTTTGTAAACTTCCACTAAAAATAAATTTAAAGTAAAAGAAAAAAAAATAAAAAAAAATAAAGTTCCCATTAATTTACATCCTCACCAACATTTAATGTTGTCAAGATTTATTAAATTTTGACAATGTATAAAATAGATTATAAGTATGGTCTTAATTCGTATTTTATTATTTTTTTAATTTTCCATTTTCTAATTGTCTTTTCCTTAAAGCTGATTTTGAAAAAGTCTATTATAAATTCTTGAGACTAATATAACCTGTTGTCTGTTAATGTCTTTAATATGTTAGCTTCTCCCCTCTGTGGTTTGTTGTTGTTGTTATGTGCTGTCAAGTTGCCTGCAACTCATAGCTACCCTATGTACAACAGCATGGACTGGCATGGGGCATTTTGAGTCAGATGATCATATGATCTACTATGCTGGAGATGAAAAGGTGAGAAAAATGGGGTTGCTTTCACAGTTTAAAAAAAAAAGTCATTTCTAGACCCATCTTGAAATACAGTATTGTGAGTGACAGGATAATATCCATATGCATACAGGGAAGTCCAGTGAATACCACTATCATTCAAACATATGCACCAACAACCAGAGCCAAAAAAGAGGAAATTTTGCAGTCAGAGATCGCTCCAATGTGCAATCAAGATGCATTAATAATAATGGGTGAAAGGAATGCAAAAGTTGGGAATAGAGAAGAAGAAGAATCAGTGGTTGGAAAACATGGACTTGGTGACAGAAATGAAGCTGGAGATAGAATGATAGAATTTTGCATAAGCAATGATTTATTAATTGCAAATATGTTTTATAAGAAACATAAATACAGGCAATACACATGGATTTCACCTGAGGTTATGCATAGGAATCAGACTGATTACATCTCTGTTGCCTACTCTCCTTGAAATTTACATTTTTATTATTTTCTCCAATAACCTTAAACATTTTAACACAATTATTTCTGTTCCTGATTTACAGGCTATCATTATACAATGTATTCTTTATGGTCTTTTATTTTAGTAATAGAATTTTTGTTGATAGCTGTCAAGTCATAATCACCTCATAGCAAACCTTCCAGCTGGCTTTCAGAGGCTGAAATCACATGGGAGGAGACTGTCGCTATTTCTCCTTGGAGCAGCTCATGGATTTGAACTACGTGCCTTTGGGTCAGCATCACAACTCCTTATCTGTAGGCCACCAGTGATACTGATGTCAGAACTGACTCATAGCTGATCCTCCAGTGAGTTTTCAGAGTCACTAATTCACCCAAGAGAAGACTGCCCATCCTTAGGTAATTAGAATAGACTTAGAATTTATATAACATTTTATTTGCCACATTCATCCTAAGAAACCCCTGGAAGACTAAGAAGTGCTATCTACATAGCTTCACATGGTATGAGACACTACAAGCAAGTTAGAGAGACTGAAAGTATGCAGGATATGCACAGGTTAAATGAAAATTCTACATTGCTTTATAGAAAGATTTTGGCACCCAAAGGGACTCCTGGATCCAATATCCCATGGATACAATTGGCAGCATCAGGATGGATGATGAAGAGATTGAGATTGTTCACAGGTTTTTCCACCTCCCTCCCTTGGATCCTTATACTCATTTACAATAATAGTTTTATACAGTATTTACCCTTGTGAGATTAAGTTAGTTCACTCAGCTTAATTCTCTCCAGACCTTTCCAAGTTAGGCAGTAATTTACAAAGTGATTGCTTCTCCATGTTGCTACCACAACTTCTCAATACATTCATTTGTGGCTGGACATCTGGGCTGTTTCCATGTTCTTGCAAAGGTGAATAAAGCTTCTGTGAACACTGATTGGTATACAAGTCTCTGATTCTGTTTCCTGGCCTTTTTATTGAGCACTGGTGATAAGGTCAGCAGGCGTCTTTGAGGATGAGTCATTGGTCTAATTTAGCTGTATTTAGGGTGTGGCAACAATTTTATGTAGTTTAAAGTAATATAAATTGAGTGATTGTCTTCCTCCAGTCTCAATACCTTATAATGTTGTTGTTATGTGCCGCTTACGACTCATAGTGACCCTATGTACAACAGCCCTAAACTCTGCTCTGTCCTGTGCCAATCGCACTGTCTCTGACATTTCCATCCCGATTACCCCAGTCACTGAGTCAATCCACCTCATAGAGGGCCTTCCCCTTCTGCACTGTCCCTCTACCCTCCCATGCATGATGTCCTTCTCTTCTTACAACATGTCCAAAGTATGTTAGACGGAGCCTCAGAATCCTTGCCTCCAAGGAGCCACCCGGTTTAACCCTTCCCAGGATGAATCTGTGTGTTTTCCTAGCAGTCCATGGTACTCTCAATACTCTTTTCCGGCACCACAGCTCAAAGGCATCAATTCTCCTTCCATCCTCCTTGGTCATTGTCCAACTCTCTGATACATAAGAAGTGATTGCAAAGACCATGG